TCCCATAAGAATCATGGGGGAACTTCACCTCCTCACACACACACACAGTATTCCCTCTAAGCCTGGCAGCAGCACAGTTTCACAGATGATTAATCAGTCCCACCCATTTTCCATGCCCTGACTGAGTAGGTGGAGCTGATTCATCTCCTGTGAAGCTATGCAGCCACGCCCCTTAGAGGGAACACTGCCCTTCCTAAAGTAGTTGCACCCCTAGCCAGCTCCTTTCACCTGCCTAGTCTCTTTTCTGTATGGTTTTATGAGAAGCAATCCCATTCCAAGCACATCCCCTTTTCCTGGCACAACCAAATCCTTACCTTGCTTTAAGCTATGGTAAGAGGAAGCTGAATGCTAAATTTGGTGGTCCTCGCTATTACCAGTTAGGAAGAGCTCTTGAACAAACAGACAGATGGATAGACACGCACACAAACTTTCTCAAATATATAAGTGTATACTTCCATTCTGGGAGTTCAATAACTAAATAGACCACTTTCCTCTCACTTTCAGTATTTGTGTGTTCACTAGAACCTTATAACAGAATTACAAGTTTATATTTCCCTCTTGTCTATTATTTATAACTACTATCTATTTAATTAGCTTCATAAAAATAACATTGTATTTTTGAAGATACAGTCATTTAAATGAAGCATTCACATTTTCCTTTAATTTTCCAAAACAAACCAAAAAAAAAAAAGAATTGAGTTAAGGACCCAGGCAATGCCAGATAAATGTGCTGGTGATATTCTATGTATTGAAACACAGGAATAAAAGCGCCATCCCTCCGAGTGGTCTGTCATCTATGCATATATTACTAACAATACCTATTTGAAATTACATTTTCTGGTAATATTTGCTATTCTGAAGGCGCCGTATATTTTTAATGTGAAATATATGCCCCCTCCTTCAATGTACTATTCGAACTTTAAAATTGTGAAATGAGAATACAAGCTCCAAGTTACAAAGTTTTGTGGAACAAATCTCTGCAATTGAATTGCTCATATGTAGCTATGTTTGTTATACAATGTCACCTTCAGTAGTGCAAGTCTGCAGTCTAAATGTAGCATTTTGTTGACAGTAGATCCCCCAGGGGAATTTCCTTAGGTAGAAAGCTACATAATTGCCAGGTTGAGAGAGATTGTTGGATGATAATCAGAGTTGCTATTCCTTTTATTCAGAGAATTTTTTCCCCCGGCTCATATGCTGTCAGCCCAGTCCTACTGTGCTATCCACTCCATAAAATGTAAAGAGAACACAGTACAAACTTAACAGGTATATCATTAAGGAAGTGGCTAGCATTAAAGGCCCCAGAACAGTTTTTCAAGTAGGGAGAAGGTCTTCAAAGGAAGAACAGAAAGGCAGTTTCCTGCTTTTCCAACTCTCTTTACAGCAGCTCAGCATAAAACCAGCCCATTATTTATAAAATATTTTTTATCAAGATCAGAATCAGGCCTAAGCAATGTACTGAGCTATGGTTAAAGACAGAGGGGCAGATTCTGAATGTTCTTATACTTAGAATGACTCAAGGGACAGTTCCATATTTAAGCTGTCCTGCAGGTATCCCGACTTTCTCTTTAAAAAGGGCAAATTGTCCCATATTCATGGCACTCACCACAGTGATTGGGAGGTTGATGATGGGGGTGAGTGTGCAAGGCTGGTAGAGGGGTGAAGATGCAGCCTACAGGACTGGACACTATCCCTGTTGGTTTACCAGCACAGCCCATGCTGCATACCAGTTCTTGGCCTGCAGGGCACCACCCTCAACTCATTTCTGGTCAGCACTGGCTGCATGTTTCATGCTGTGAGCTGCAGGACTACTGTGTTCAGGCAGTCACCAGACAGCAGCTAGTTACATGTGACCTCTGCTGCCCACCCATTCACCTTTTATGTGTTCCTGCTCTCACTGTCCTCTCTCTGCTTTGCCTCTCCCAGCCCTGTTGCTTCTCAATATCCCCCCTCCAGCAGGGTGCATGCCACTCACAAACAGCCTAGCCAGCAAGCTCCTTTCTTTCCCCACCACCTCTGGCTGGGCCAGCACCCTGAGAAAGCCCAAGACCCTCCAATCCAGGGTGAGAGCTAGGGGGTGCCATGCTCTGCACAATGCTAGAATGGGGAAGCTTCTCTGCCTCTCAGCTAAGCTGTGGTGTGGCAGGGGAAAGCGATTTTCATCATGGTCATGTGCTGAACTTGCAGATGTCACAGCAGCTCCTAAGCAGGGGCTTATCAGATTCTTCAGCTGCATCTTCCTCCTCTCCTGCCCCCTTCCCCACCCACCACACACCACCACCAACCTCGGTCCTGCTCCCAGCTCCGGTTCCTTCCCTCCCACACAGAGATGAAAGGCTGCTGCTGGCCACATTCTGATGAGGATCTTGGCAGAAATCTGGGAGGGGGCATGTGGGCATATCTTGGGGATACACAGCACCAGATGCCAGGAGAGGCAGGTCTGACCTAGGGGCCAGCCAGGCATGGAAGGCAGTCACACACACAGAGACGCACACAGACACACGGGGGAGGAGGGGGTCTAGGCACATGTCACACCTCCTTATATGAAGCCTAAGGCCTTAAAGATAAGAATATAAATAAAAAGAATCCAGCTACATAATATGTTTTTTTATCAGGGGGTCAATCAACTTGTCAGGGCCATCCCTGGGGAGCACAGGGTTTGGGGCAACTGCTCCCCAGTTCTTCAGGCGTGTGGCCCACAGCAAACCCCCACTGCAGGCTGTGCCCCCACCCCACTTCTGCTCCTCCCCCACACCACTCCTTCAGTGTTGGGCCTAGTATTGTTGACCCACATTACACAACTCCAGGTACAGGAATAACGTATTATTCATGTTGCTGGAATTACACAATTCAGATCAGCTTAGTGCAATGACTACATCATGCTGAGTCAATGGAAGACACTCTCCTGTCAACTTACATTATTCTGCTCATTAGGGGTCTACCGGAGTGCTATTTTGGTCAATTAGGTGGGTCTTCACTAGACCTGCTAAATCACCCACCAGTGCATTGATCATCTGACATCAATCTGGCTGTAGTGTGGTTGTAGGCCCTGATTCTGAGCTCACACCAGTGTATGTCAAAACAGAATCTAACCCAGTATATCTAGAGCAGTACTTGGGTTGTGATTATAGTCTCTTCCTTTCTCACTTACACAAATACACACCTAAAATAAAGATTCTGGGAACAATCCATTCTTTCAGGTGTCCTCAAAGTAGCTGTCATGCCTACAGCAACTCTCAAGTTATATGTAATATGTTGACAATCTCAGAAGTACATTCCTCAATGTGGTCTTCTTTTTGTGAACAATTCTGTTCCAAAACATGTCACTTCTGTCTAAGATATTTCTATGCTGTTCCTCACAGTAGTGTCACTAAGCTTCTAGAGTGATGTCTCTAAGAATGATTTTAAAGCTATTTGATAGTGTCCATCAAATTCAATTGTGAAGCAGATATCAAAATACGTGACATACCTGCAGTCTCAGAATGTTCCCATCTATATTTAGAAGTGCATTGTATTTTTGTTGAAGCTGTTTAGCCCATCTGTGTTATTTATTTGTTTATACATTGTTAGATAGCTCCACCTTGAGTTTGAGCTTCTAAATCTCTATCTAAACCTCTTTCCTAAAGCACCTCCCAAATATAGAATTATAAGGAATACTAGTAAAGGGTGAGTGATGACAATAAATTCTAAACAGTTAACTCTACATGTTATATTTCTATGAGACAGAGCTGGTATTAATCCTCATTTTTCATTTACCAAAAACAATGTAAACTATTTTGCAATTTTGTCAAAAGATTTTTACCAGCTCTGGATCAAACACATATCTAAAATGTACCTTCATGTAGCATCTGGTCAATCATATGTATTTGCCTTGTGCAGTGAAGGCAGTCTATTGGCATACATTGTGCTTTCAACATGCAGACCTCTGCAGTCTGGCTTGCACATACACAAATAAATGAATAATGCCCAGACTTTCTTTCTCATATATGTCCCTAAGTAACAAAGGAAGGTTAGGAGGCTCTTTCGAAAGAAGCCTGCAGTCTAGACATAGCCTAAGTAACAAAGGAAGGTTAGGAGAGTGGGGGTTATTAAAACATATCGCCTAAGAAATGCAGTATAAATACATTCTGAAACTCCCTTACATTTAAATCTTGTCCTACTTCTTACTTGACGAAAGTCAATGCTTGGTCGAAGGCTGTTGTGGTTTTTTGTTTGTTTTTTGTTTCCCTTGTCATGCTCTCACAAAGAAATCAATAAGTACTTCATAGGGGCAGAGAGGAGGAGAGATGTGTCAGTATATCTTTTTCCCATTTTTCCTCATCAAAATGGAAAACCAAAATAATTTAATTTGAGTGAAATAAAATATTTAGAATGTCAGTTCAAAACATAAAGTATCCATACCCAGAGACTTACTCACTGTGGTAAATGATAGAATTTTGGGTATATTTGTTGCCTTTGTGTCAAATAGTTCAGTTGATTCAACACCTCAATCTTCAGACAACAGAACAAACTAATCTCTTGAACTGTTTCCTTTTGGGTTCAGTTCAACTTACTACAAACCTAGTCTCCTATTACTTCTTTTTTATTAATTCATAGCCTTCTGCAACACCTTCCTGGGTCCACTCTTATTCATATTTGTGTAACAGAGACTGTTGCTTAACGGAAGAATTTCCTTTGTGGCCTTTCTTTTGTTTCTCAGAGTTAAGTAGCAAATTATGTAGCTTGTTCCTAGATACAAGTCAAACCTTCCTGGAACCAGCAGATGGCACCAATGGCCAATAAATCAGTTGTAAAATAGCTCCATTTACAAAGGCTAAATAATAAAGTGGTTAGAGGAATTCAGGTAAAAGGAAGTAGGGTGGTGTGTGTGTGTGTCTGTCTGTCTGTCTATCTTACTAGTATTTATTAGCTTTCAAGATACTAAAATGGATTTCTACACATTCTTGTAAAAATATTTGGTAGATTTCTAATAACACTTCATTTCTTTGTTTATTATGCAGCTATTAATATTACCGAGCCCAGTTTCAGTGGCACTAATGTCTTTGGCTATACATCATTCCTAGCCTATTCAGCAATCCCAAATATCAGCTTCTACTATGAATTCCGCCTGAAATTTCAATTGGCAAACCACGACTCAGCAATACGAGATAATCTGATATTTTTCACTGGACAGAAAGGCCAAGGTAAGTAATGTCTCTTCCAGAATTATAATACAGAATATTCATATATAAATCTGCAAAAGGAAAAAAGTTACTTTAATATTAGTATTTATGTTAAGAAGAATTCCAAATCTTATGCAATAAATAGGAAGGAAATAGGAAAATATTTCTCATTGTGTTTTCTAGCCATGTTTGGGATTAAACACGAGCAGCTACAGTTTGAGATAAAGAGCCTTGAGTATACAGGTGCTGGCTGTAACAAGTCAGATCCTCTACGCAGTAGGTGACTAGTAATATGCACCCACCGAAGGATTACACATTGAAATAATGTCATTTTAAAACTTACTCACCATAAAACATTAGGCCCTATTCATACTGCAGTTAGAGTGGTACTAGTGGCTACATCTACACTGCAAGGTTTTTGTGTAAAAACCCATGGAGCATCCACACCTCAAGCACACTTTTGTGCAAGAAAATCTACAGTCAATTGACAGAACAGAGGGCTTTTTGTGGTATAGATAAACCTCCTTCTATGAAGCATAACTCCTTTTTGCGCCACAGCTCTTGTGCAAAAAGGCAAGTGTGGATACTCCATAGGAGTTTCCTGAGTAAAAAGAGCGTATCCAAAAAAGCACAAGTGCTCTGATGGCCATTCTGTGAATGGCCATCAGAGCTTTCTTGTGCAAGAGCATCCATGCAGTGTGGATGCTCTCTTGTGCAAAAGCACATCACAAAAGCGATGCGCTTTGAGATGTGGACGCGCTTTTGCATAAGAAGTTTTTGCGAAAGATCTCTTCTTGTGAAAAAACCCTGCAGTATAGATGTAGCCAGAGTGATTTGATAACTCAGTTATAAAAATCAAAAATGTATGTCAATGTGAATCAGAGAAACCATGCAGGAACTCTGTTAGCAGCAGCCATGCTTTTAAGTATGGTTGTAACTAGCTTTGTGACTTTGTCTCCATTAGTTTCATTTGGGAATTCTCCCATAGTTCTACCACAAAATAACGAGAATGTTAGAGTAAGAAGACATGAGCATTCCTTCTATTTTTAACTCTGGAATACGTAGGTTCTGATCAGGTTAGACAACAAAATTGATGGTGCCCTGGATTTCGCCATTTCCAACCAGCTGGGGACCTGCTACAGCAGCAACAAAAAAGCAAGAAAATTCCTATAGAAAGTCAACGTAGACACAGCCAGAGTTTAGAATTATTAGTTTACAGGAAATACATTATTTATTCCTCGAATACGCTGCAGCATTCATTTCTGAAATTGGAGTTGACCCTAATTTTTGTGCTTTGGTTTTTATGTGTGGTCTTTTTCAGCAACGTATCTTCAGATTTAACCCACTAATTTCAGTCCAGGCCTACACAATTGCTGCTTACTGGTATAACTCTGTACCAACAAAAGAATAGACACATTTATACTGGAAAAGTTCAATTTTCCCTCTATAAAATATACTTGCAAGGGTGCGTCTAGACTACAGGGTTTGTTTTTTTTTAAAGTGGCCTTTTTTAAAAAAAGACTTCACCTGCATCTAGACTGTTTCTGTGTTCTTTTGAAATTACATCGAAAGAATGTGGTAGTTTTTTCGACCGCAGAAAACCTAATTTTACGAGGAATAATGCCTTTTCGAAATTGTTCTTTTGAAAAAAGGCATTATTGAATGCAAACAGTGCTCTTTCGGAAAAGCGGCTCTCTTTTTCAAAAATACTGGGTCAAACTGAGCCACAAGCTCCAACAATCCCAAGAAATTTCCATTCTGCAATGATCTAAATGTGTCATTTGATCCCTGGAAAGGCAGACCACATTCAGCTAATGTTTGAATAACAGCTATAACACTCTGCAAGACATGTTGCCAATATTCATGCTCCCCTTTAATTTGTTCTTCCAATTTTTGTGTCAATCCAAAGCCCTGTCTTCAATTTAAATATGTCAACATTGAATCTCTGTGAGTAGTGCTATTTTCATGTTGTTCCATTAAAACAGTATTTCGCCAATCACTAAATCCATCTGTAGCAAACCGGGCTGTTGAATGTTTATATGCAAAAAATTTGCAAACAAAACAGTACACAGACCCTGTTGATGGTGAATACAGTAGCCATTCTTGAATGTATTTCTCACCATTTGCTTTCAAGCTGAAAAATATTTTTTGTGGACAATATCTTGCTTGTTTGCCATTGGTAAAAGTCTGACGTGATTTCTCAAATGGCCCAGTGTGGTGGTGACAGTCATTTGGTCCATGATCTATCCAGTAAGCTACATCATCGGTACTGAAATCAACCCACATACCAGGATCTTTTCTCCTATTATTTACAGCATGAGCAGGTTCAGTCTCTGACACATCCACACCTTCTAGAACAATGTCTATTTTACCACCAGGAGTAGGATGATCAGTTGCAGTCTCTGACACATCCACGTGTTCTGGAATGGTGTTTGTTTCACCAAGGGTCAGTCTCTGAAACACCTACAGGTTTTGGAACGATGTCTATACTACTGAGAGAAGATGTTGCTTCTGATGAAAAATTTTGAAAAATGATGTAAGCTTTGGAAGATTTTGGAAAATTTCACTCATTTTTTGTTTCTTTTCTTCCGCCAGTTTACATTTCTGTGCTCCACTCAGTTGGTTACATTTCATCCTGCCCCTTATCTCAGTTATCTGAATGTAAAAACAACCAAATTAAACGAAAGAAAAAAACCGAATCGAGTACGTATAACTCAGAAGAATCTATCAATAATAAAACATAAATTTATTGTGATACATGAAAGGATCTGATATCCTTGCATTATTTTGATCTACGGTAGTAGCTAGTTTAGGTGGGGATAAGTAATAAAAAGAGAACAGAAAAACAGGGGAAGAGTGTGTAGTGGAGTGTAAGGAAGTCTAACAAAGTTCTGATTTTTCCCATGATGACTATTTGGGTGCTTTTTTTGAAATATCAAATATCAATTTTTTTCAAAACAAAACTTCTTTTTTTTGTTGCCCCTGCTTTGCTGGTGCCCTAAGCACGTGCTTAGTCAGCCTATTGGGTAATCCAGCCCTGCTTAGAATATAGTCCTTGAGCCAGCTTTCAATTCACATGATTTTTCAGACTCTGGCCAATTTGATTTAATCTTTGATGCTGAAGTTTCAGACATGAACAAATGTTTTTCTAATGTTCTTATTCCCCTCCCCTTCTCCCAGTAATTTTGCAATTCTATCAGAAAAGCCATCCAAAGTATCTTAACACATCATTTAAATTTAATATCGCATTGAGCCTATTAACACTATATATGACTTCACAGCTCTTTTGTGCTTTTTTTCTTTTAATGACCTTTCATTTCCTTTATAAAATGTAATTTAATATCAGATGCCTGTGTTAAAGCCCATTTGCTAACAACAATCCACTAATTTTATCATTTCTTGAGGACATTATTCTCAATGGGATGGGGTTCTTGAAACAAAACAAAACAAAACAAAAACACCCAGATGTTGCCTATGTTTATCTATAGTGTGTAGTACAGTGTCCTGAGATAATTGTGTTCAGGTTTCCTAGAAGTGAAGTACAGTACATCCCGGAACAAAAAGAAGTGTGTCATTTCTGGATAATTACAGTGTTCTTTATCCGTTCTTTGCATTTATAATATTACAAAGCTTGGAACATTCCAATTTGAGAGATCACCTTTCTCCCAGTGTGATTCTGCAGTAGTTGTAATCAGCGTAGATGTTTGCACGAATCTTGGGGGTAGGGGAGAGACTATGGGCAGAATGTGCTCCCTGAGGAGCGTTTGCCTTTCCAATTCACTCCACCCTTGCTCCAGAATAGACCAAATGTGCTGACCTTCATAGCAGACTGCAAAGCCTATTTATCAGCCGAGGCTTCTAGGGAGAGGGGTGAGGAGAGGAGCTGTTGGTGAGCACAGAGAATTTTAACCTTTAATCATCTGGTTTGTAATCCCCTGTGTATGTGGTTTAGGATAGGTGGATATATTTAATACTTTTTGTATGGATTGTTTAAAAACATGTTTGAGAAGCAGCTGCAGCTTGGGTTAAATGCTTTTTAATTTGTATATAAATAAAACCAAATGAAATGCACAGAGATGCCATTTTCATTATAAAGTCAGCAGTTGCAAAAAGGCATTGTCTAGAGGTGGGCAATTATTTTTGTGGAGACCACTCCAAGATTTTGGAAAGTGGTGAAGGGCAGCACTTTTCTGTGGAGGGGGTATGGACTCTAAGTGGAGTCTAGGTGCAGACATGCACAGGGGGTAAGAGATTGGGGTGCAGGAGACAGGTTGAGGTCTGAGAGGGAGTTTGAGCAAAGGAGGGGGTTGTGACCTGGATCAGGGTAATGGGGTGCAGGATCAGGGAGAGGGTATGGGTGCAGGAGAGGATCCTGGCCTGCGGGAGGGAAGTAGGAGGGAGTACAGGATCTGGGAGGGAGTTGTGACCTAGGGCAGGGGGGTGCAGAGTGTTTGGATGGTGACCTGGGGAGGCAGCTGAGGTGCAGGGCTGCCAGAGGTAGGCTGTAGCTGGGAGGGGCTTATCTAAGCATATCCTGGCCAGCAGCCCTGTAGCAACCCCCAACTCAGGCTGGGCTCCCTGCCTGCTGTAGCCCCAGATTGCTTGAAAATTCAGTCTGCTCCCTTCATGTGGCTCTCACCTCCAGGAGGGGGAGAGGCTTGCACTGCCCCTGTCCCCCAGGCCAATCTCTCACCTCCTATTGGTTGGTTGTTTCCAGCCAATAGGACCTGAGAGATTGGCTGGGGTCAATTCCTATTAGTCAGTTGTTTCTGGCTAATAGGCTCTGAGGATTGGGCTGTGAGTGGGAGATCACACAAAGCCTCCCGCTCCCTCCAGATCAGAGAGGCACATGGAGCAGCCCTGCACTTAAAATCGCAGGAGTGTCCACAGGCTGGAGAGCCTGGGGCGAGACATATCTTGCCCACCCCTGATCTATGTAATCCCATGAATCTGGGGGAACGGGGTCATTGTTCTTAATTAGATCCATAAGGTCATAGATAACAGGCTCAACTATCTGTACC